ATGGCTATCAAAGGCTCAAAGGAAAGCACCGTTTGTCAAGGAAAGAAGGGAGACAACACCTACAACGAAGTATGATGTGTATTGGTGATGTATGGATTATCACCCGTTCCAGCTCAGTAATACTTTTTTAGAGGCAGAACCTCTACCATTAGACCGAGCCAGGTAGGCAATAAAACAAACAAACAAACAAAACAAACAAACACACACACAAACACACAAACAACAACAACTACAACAAACTTGAATATTCCCAAAATCACCCAGGTTCAAGAACGACCCATCGGACATTCGGACAAGGCTCATCCACACCATGGCCCATTATGATACCAGCTGGGTTCACAAAGTTTAATTGTGCGTGAAAGAATTCCACAGATCACACACAATTTAAAAAAAACCCAAATCAATAATGATAACAGTTGGCAACAAAATCTAACTTTTTTCCTGCGGCATGGAATTTGTTGATTTGATTTACAATAGTTCAAAGTCACCAAAATTTTTAAAAATGGCATCAGTTTTGCTTTATCTCGTCAAGTTTTTGGTGGCATTTCCACTGTTTTTGCTGTACACTATTGAATTAGATATAATAATAACAAATGCCACCTTTGTTTAGAAAAAAAAGAATATGAGGCATAGAAGATTTTGCAATATAAATCAAGTCACTCCTCAATTTCACAGTAGTACTGGGTACAGCATTCAGAAATAGAGCATGTACTTCAGTTGGGGGTAACATAATTTTTATTCACTACTGAAGCTTTCTTTTGCTGGATTGTCTCGAATCTGGAGTGCGTCGTTTCTGGACAGTCTCTTTGAATTGCCTGCTTCAACAGTAATCTGTCATCGTGTTGTTGTCCCATTGGCCTTGAAGCATCTCCTCCATAATCTTTAAGCTTTCATGAAATAGTTCATCTTGCTCATCTCTGATATCTCTACAATTTTGAGGAAAATCAACAAAATTAAGACCATTAAAGGAAAAAAAAGAATAACCTTGTCACCCATGTTGCGCACAAATGATGGAAGATGTCTAACAAATTTTTAACCCCAAATCTTAAAATTTTCTTCTTTTCTGTTGCTCCAAAAGATTTTCTCCCATCGAGTCTGTGGTCACCTTTCTGGTATGCCGCACACCGAAAACACCAGCCCTTACATTCTCGTAACTCAGATAAAGAAAAGCTATTGCTACTTGAAACAACCCCCTTCAAAGTCGAGGGCTCTCACAGATAGTTTCATCAAGCCTTATCGGATATAAATGGGAGGAAAGATGATTTTTTCCCTCAACACAAGTGGTTAATTTGTCACATTTTTCTCCCCAACTATTTGAGCTGCCCTCCCAGGTCATATCTTTGTTCCCAGTGTTTTTCCTTTGACTATCCCACCGACAAAGAGATCATGGCTACTTTCTAAAGTCACCCTGTTTGTTAAGTAAGGCGTTAGCCATTTTCAGATCAACACGAACCGTTTTTCAAATCAATCCAGCACTGTTTAATTTTCATATGTGCCTGTGTTCTTCTCTATGCAGAACCGAGTAACCACCAAGAACAGATTCAAATGAATTTCCATTATGGTATAGGATACACCTCAGACTTTCTTTTGAACTGTCTAAGAAAAGTCTCCTCTCATTCGGATGGTAATCAGATACACCCGGTGCACGTACCTTGTACTTCCTGACAAAAGACAAAGTCCTTGACTGTTACAAAGTACTGCAGTAGTTCCTTTTCCACACTATGATAAAACATTATTTATAAATTTTTTTAATGGTTTTGAACAAAAAAGATTCTGATAAATCGTTGTCAAATCATTCAATTTTGGTTAATAAAAACAACTAAGAATTGAAGTCCATTTGCGTTTTTAAAAATGTTGATTTCCATCCTTAAGATTGCACAATACTTTTACAAAATCAAATCTTCAAATAATGTTTTTACGCCAAAATACGGTCTTTATAGGTAAACCAATACTTCAGCAGGTATTTTTTTTTCTCACATTCTTGTAAAGACTGAAGGTGAACATGGACAGTGTCTTTTTTGTAGGGTACTAGTACTATAGTTGATTTTTTTAAACGTTTATAGCACCGAAAAAGAACCATACTTTGACTATTATTCATCACTTATCTGTTTTGGATGAAAGGTCACACATTTAAAGGTTCAACATGTTACTCTCATTCATTAAAGTTAAGCTTTAAATGAAACTAGATCTATAGGTTGTTCTATTTGAAAACTTCTTATTTTTGCTAGATTGAAATGAAAATATATCACTTTTTTTATGGACCAAAAACCTGATGTGATACGCAAAAGAAATATGTCGTTTCTGGAATCAGCGACCTCAAATTACGTTAGAACAACCCTTAATTCTAATGCCAAAAATGTGTGTCGACCAGAATAATGGATACAATTTTATTTATTTTTTAGCATTTGTATAGCGCATATTCCCTCTTAACAGCAAACTCCGTGCACTTTGCAATCCAGTTTATTACCTCAGCAGATCATAGATAAACTCTGGGAGGCAAACAACCCAAGCAGCTTATTAAGTGCACAAGCACTAGCAAACTGACAAAGGTCTTTTGCCGTCTTTAGCTGGGTACCCATTCCCACCACAAGTTAGCTTCAAATAGAAGAAGAAGAAGAAGAAGAAGAAGAAGAAGAAGAAGAAGAAGAAGAAGAAGAAGAAGAAGAAGAAG